GACCCATTGGCATTACTTTGAATTGGTATAGTCCATTTTCTGTCACAAAGGCAGTTTTTTCACGGTCGTTTTCATCACACTTTACTTGAAAATATCCACTTTGAAGATCAAGTACATGGAACCATTCTGCTCCGGACAACGCATCTAGTTTATCATCTATACGAGAAACCGGAAATGAATCTTTCTTTGTGATATCATTGAGCTTGCGATAGTCTAAACATATCCGCGTAGAACCATCTTTCTTTCTTACAAGGACTAGGGGTGATGACCATGGAATCTCGGACGGTTCAATGATGTCACTGCGCAAATGTTATGCTAATTCCTGTTATCTGAGAAGCTAGTTCAGATCTTTGAGCAAATGGCAATCGGCGCGGTTTTTGACGAATCAGGTCTGTATTTTGAGTATTAATTTTATGCGTTACAATATCGGTACGTCCTATGTCCCACTTATCTTTGTCAAATACACTTTGATTCATAAAAAGTAAGGCTCTGAGTCTTTCTCTCTGGTTTTCATTTAAGTGTACACATGAGCTTGTATATAAACTAGTTAAATGTTCAGGAATATCTTCTGTTGACAATTCTTGAGAACAAACTGACTCATTAAGTATGGTTACTGCTTCACATGTCGCTGCAATTGAATTTGCATATACTTTAACAGACTTATCTGTTGCGTTCAATACTTGCATCGGAACAACATCTGATGATGAATTAAATACTGTTTTAGCCAACAAAAGCTGATGTTTCTCCACAAATTTATCTGAAGCTATTAACATGCTACAATCTGGAGTATAACCAATATCAATAACTTTCTCCGGAATAATCTGCTCGACACCCGGCGGAATAACTGTTGTCTCTGACACAGCAACCCGACAACATCGCACACCTTGTGTATTTACTACTAAACAAGATATCTGTTATTTGTTAACAGTCATTGTATTGTTAGCAACATCAATGCAACACATATTTTATATCATGAAGTCAAAACCGATAATACAGTCTATATCTTCATCTATATCAGCTACCCACACATCGTGTGTGAGAAGTGTCCTTCCAATTTCAACGTTCATTTTACCTATTCCTCTCACTTTAACTGGTGTACCGTCGGCAAGTTTCATGTTTGTATGTGTTGGACGCAACACCACTTTGTTTCCATCGGACAGAGAATCGTATACCTTACTGTTCAAAATTGTCACATTTGCACCTGTATTTACTAAACATTGGATGTTTTTACCTTGAAATTTACCAGAAATATACATTCCTCCATCGCCACTCGCTACACGACCGGTTTTTACTCTGTTTTTTTGTTGATAATTTGTTTTACTTTTGTCATATTTAGGACAATTTCTTCTGATATGGCCTGGCTCTCCACAAGTCCAACATCCTCTTTTTCCCGGCTTGTTGTTATTGTTATTAAATCCGCTTCTCTGTTGACTCATACCGCTCTTAAGAAACTGAAACTCACGTCGAAGTTCCTCTACCACATCAGATAGTGTTTTGATTTGACCAGACACTTCTGAACTTTCCGATTTAGCAAAATTTCGAACACTTGAAGGTTTGTCCCTCTGTTTATCCGCAATATAAAAAGCCTCAAGCTCAACAGCCAACTTAACAGCATCATCTAGTGTCTTTGGGTGAGCTTGATGTATACGCAACCGTGTATCCGCGTCATCTTATGGAATACCAATGTACATAGTGACAAGTTTAACTTTTTAGATTCATGTTTTAAATATTATAATCTGCATATGATTGGAATTGCGGAAACGCATTTGACCGGTAATAAAGGCATTGAAGTGGATGGTTATAACTGGTTCGGTTTTAATCGTAAAAACATTCACGTGCGTGCGAAAACTGGTTCTGGTGGGGTCGGACTTTTAATTCGCAATGATATTTGCAGTCAATTTGATGTTGAAATAATTGACAATGATACTGATGGAATATTGTGGGTGAGATTGGAGGATAAAAACTGTTTACAGAACGTTTTCTGTGTTTGTGTTGTATATTTGCCACCTGAAAACTCCACACGGGCAGTAAACGTGAACGAATTTTTTGAAACATTAATGTCAAAAATCTACACCCTTCCTCAAGGGTCTCCGTTTTATTTGTGTGGCGATTGGAATAGTAGATGTTCCGATTTGTCGGATGCGATTGCTGGAATAGACAGTTTACCCGAAAGACATGTAATTGACTTTCATCATAATAGTTATGGTAGTACTTTTTGTGATTTCTTAATTGACGTAAACTGTTGTATTTTAAAAAGTCCATTATACGCGATTTGTGGGAGTTCATAAGAGGAGCGAGGAATTCAATATATATCATATCTGAGGAATAAGGATATGGTATCCTCATATTGTCACTAATATGTGTCAGTTGTTTTCTGTTCTGACGTCTGTGAATTATTATTATTGTAATTGTTTATTATTATTATTATTATTATTATTATTATTATTATTATTATTATTATTATTATTGCATCAATGAAATGATCTCGGCTCAACATCTCTTGTAGTTCCAATTGAGCTTTGGGATATGCTTTACGGCTTAGTCTCTTGATATGTTGCGCCAATTCAGGCAATTCTTGATCTCTTCTTTTACGGATATTCTTAAGCTGCACACGGAAAAGCTCTGTTCTGTTTTCGGTTCCAAATCTACTTGTTAATGCTGCACATATCGATTGATAATCTTTACGCTTTATCGGATCAATATCGGCTAAAACACTTTGCGCATTCCCACTTAGACTTGTTGCAAGAAACATTGCTTTCTGATTATCCGCCCAACAATTTAATTCGGATATCATTTCAAACTGAATTTTATAATATTCCCAAGAAACAGAACCATCATATTTAGAGGGTCGGACAACTGGCTTTTCAGATCCCAGATGCTTATGTGAATTCGATCCTTGATTACGAGAAGGTTGGAACACAGATGGAATTGATGATCTTTTCGGGGTCGGAGCACTTGAAATTTCATCCTGAAGAGTTTCATACTCTTTAGTTAAACGCTGTATTTTTCTTTGGGTTTCAATCATTCTAGGCGTTGAAGCTGATAACACGGTTGAACTTAATCCTATCCCCGTATCCATTGATACTTTAGGTCTTGCACCTCCGAAATAAATTTCTCTATCAGAAGAATCACGTGTATCCATTTTTATAACAATTTAATTACAGTTGCTTTATTTACGCACATGAAATATTTTATTCCATTTGCAATAATCCTCTCACACAAAATTATCTGAATATTACTATAAATCCTCAGAATATAATTTGCGAAAATACATTGTTAAATTCCAAATAGCACATCAATTCTTATAATAGAAATAAACTAATCCATGTTAATAATATCCACACCGCTGCCACCAAAAATTGTAACGTGACCGAGGGGATGTCAACACTGACACAGACGGACGGACATAGCCATCTATGGCACGACAATATGTCCTGTGGTAAATTCCCAGTAACTAAATAATACGGTATATATATATAAGTTTATTAACAAATGTACATGACTTCCGACTTATTGACAAAGTTAAACATATAAACTTTAAAAACAAGTCCTCCAGAATCTTTACTGATTCAAGACTTAAGGAATACACATCCTTTCAGTATCACAGCTGATACACAATCTGCCAGTCTCTGACCAACTGACCTTTATCATAGAGTTTAATTACTGCATCTCTAGACCAACAAATAGGCACAACTAATTTTATTACCCTACACCCTAGACATTGCTACTTGTCTTAATTACATCTGACAGTTCAACTTTAACTGCAGATAATAAGACTAGCCATTTGTCAAATTAGCCTTGCGTCATTAATTTTCTCTGTACACAAATAAACAGTTGTGAAGCCAATTTAACCAGAGGTCAATATTTACAAAACATTAAAATATTACAATATCTTTTAGGTCAGCACATTTTCGTTATTATTAACCCAATTTCCCCAAATTTGATGCAGAGTTATTAATTTATAAGTTGCTTGTCACAGTTAATGGGACTTATAGCAGTAGTTAGATCAACATATACATAGACCAGACACATGCTGGAAGTTTCCTGACACTAACTACCAACAGATCCCTGTTCTAAGTCAGTCCTGACGTCTGGACTTCTGTCACTGACGATTTTGATCTACATGCTTGGAGTAATAAACAAGAACAGGTCCAGAAGTCAGGTCAAGCGTGACCTTAAATAGTTTTGTTGTGCAAAATATGATATGCAGTTTAACAGACTGCAAAATTCAATGTGATAACCACTGAAGATACGCGTTAATCGAACAGTTAAGGACATTTATAATAGCTTCAATTAACATGACATCAAACAGTTATTCACCTTGTTCTCCTTACACAGATCTTCTTACGTATTATGTATTTGCTGGCTTTTTCCACTTTTATATTACATTAAACATTTAAACAATTTATATATCGCATGCGGAAATTTAGCAGAATGAGGACAGTTATTTAATGCTAAAGCGAGGCTGGCGCGGTACAGCAATCATTGATAAGTGTTTTCATTGACAATTTGCTGTCCAGCAATGCGATCCAGATCCTTTACTGTTATAAAATGAAAATAATACGTAAAACATTATATAAGCGCATTAGCAGCGCATTCATACAAAAAGGATAGTAGGTAAAGCCATACTATAATAAAAAAGAATTGTTTACTTGATAGTAAATCGACTCTGAGAGGGATATTTTTATGATAAATCGCCAATAAAAGATGATAAAAAGTATATATTCAAAGAAAATAGTATCATGTCATTAAAAATGAAAGGAGCATGTTGTAAAAATCATTAGTATTAGCCTTAAAAAAATGTTTCTAAAATTGAAGATGAAATGTTAAAGATATGCCCAAGCTTAAATTTCCATTATAATTGTGAAAAATGAACGATTAAAACTAAGTTTTTTGCACATTATAATATGGTTTTTTCACTAAAAATCAAAGTTATTTATACCTGTAATTACCGACATTGTTTCATACAAGATATTTAGATGTCTTTCACTTTATTTTAGTAAAACACAATGGATCCAAAGCAGTCCCATAACAATCAACCCCCTCCGCAACATATGGGACGAGATTCACAAGTTCATCCTCAGCACCAACAGCAGAATACAACAGTTGTTATAAACCAGCCCGGTATACAGACCAATCCATTAATGATTGGAACAATACATGGAACAAGAGGATGGTCAACAGAACTGTTTGACTGTTTTGGAGATGTCAACAATTGTATGTACAACGTACAGATTTATTTCTTTTCCCCATGACGTTGTCAGTTTAATTTCAACTTACGGGTTTGATGCCCCCTTTGGTATCTTTCGCCTCTCTTTTAATTATATTTGATATAAGATATTTTAAATATTGGGTCGATGAATCATTTAATTACGAATGAAATGTAAAGAAAAATAAAAGTGTTACATTCACGCAAAACAGCAAAGAAACAGCGCTTTAACAGCTATTTTCATCTCAACATACACATTTTTACCACAATTACTAGACATGCATAATACTGAATAAAGACATGAGCTTTAATGCCTCGTTACATTTTCAAGGGAATTTATCTTGTGAATGCCTCATTATGGTAACAATTAAACTCAATGAACGTAAGGAGTTCCACTATTGCATTGAACTATCATATTATTAACCAGTGGGATATCTAGTGTCAAGCTATTACCTCCCCTGTAAACACTGAATACTTGATCTTTTAAACGTTTGGTCCGCTTTAGCAAGAAAGCTTTTAATAAAACATTCACAAGAAAACGTTCGGGTAAATGGTAACTATAAAATATGAATTGAAATAATAGAAAAAGTTTCCAAATAATGTAATCATCTCCCTCCTCAAATAGAAAACGACGAGTACAGCTGGCTATAGGAGCTGTGTGTAAAATTTGTTTACAATGTTGCCATGCGAAAAATTCCAATTTATTTTTTCTACTGGCTGTATACCTCTCTGGAACATGCCAATTATCCGTCTATGTTTGCTGCTAGTCCAGAGAAGTTCGTCTGGAACATGTCAATTATCTGTCTATGTTTGCTGCTAGTCTAGAGAAGTTCAGGGAGAAAATTCAAAACGACTCAATTAATATGCAGCTAAGATCAACAATTTTGAAATAACGTTTCTAAGCAAATTTAAACGGACCTTATCTCGATGTCAACATTGATTGTGAAGAGATCGAGCGACCGCAAGTACATGTACAGAAATCGAGACGCCCTTTTCTTTAAATTGTACAAATAAATAGTTAAAATCGTTTAAATTTATATTGTGGGATATTGTAACATGCTAAGGACTAAACGGAACACTCCGAAAATGTATGACTTGAAAGATATTTAGATTTTATATGTACTACATGTTTTCTTTCTATTTATTTTTATCAAATTGCAGCAAAGATTAACAGTATATAAATTTCAGACAAGTTTCAAATGCAATTACTGTAGTAAATAATTAAAATAAAACATCATTGCATGTATATTTTTCTAATACAGTTCAACAAATAATTTCTGTAAAATGTTCGAATGTTGATAAGAAATAATTTTTAATCAGAATCGTCACCGTCATTGTTTTACTATTAATTTTCTCGACTTTTTATTAAGAAGAGCGACTTTTCTATTTCTTTCGTCTCATCAGTTTAGCCACTGTAACAAGTAACTCATATAGTTCAACCATTCGATATATGTTTATCCCTGAAGTAAACGTTAACGTTGATGTGATTGAAGGCGTTGAAACAAATGAATGAAAAGACAAACAGAGGTTAAGATACGATCTTTACAATGTGTCAAGCTACAAACAGGTCTAAATCTAGAAAAGAATGAGATAAAATCATGTTAAATTTTAAATACCTTTATGTATAAACAATTAATGTATCAGGTTATCTGATAGTGAACATATTACTTTCATTGAAATCACACGGAATATTAAACTAACATAAAAAGTACACTTCACGTAATTAAGTCGATTCACTGTTCGCAATCCATTTTAAAAAAGCATTAATAGTGACATTTTATTTCAAGTCCATTGTTCATATCGTAAAATTTTATCAAAGATACCAGTCATAAATGTTAACGCCAGACACGCGTTTCGTCTGCCATGAACGGTTACAACACGCTTTTGGAGTTCTTGAATATAAAAATAAGAAGATGTGGTAAGATTGCCAATGAGACAACTCTCCACCAGAGACCAAAATGACACAGAAATTAATAACTATGGGTCACCATACGGCCTTCAACAAAGAGCAAAGCCCATACCGCATAGTCAGCTATAAAAGGCCCTGAAATTAAAAATGTAAAACAATCCAAACGAGAAAACTAGCGGCCTGATTAATGTACAAAATAATGAACGAAAAACAAATATGATATACAGTAAAAAACGACAACCACTGAATTACAGGCTCCTGACTTGGGAAAGACACACACATAATGTGGAGGGGTTAAACATGTTAGCGGGCGCCCAACCCTCCCCCTGACCTGGGACAGTGGTGTAACAGTACAACATATGAACAAACTATAAAAATTTGTTGAAAAGGGATTAACTCATCAGATAGATACAAAGCACAAAAACAAGTAACAAAAAAACAGAGTGGACATGGCAGGGTACTTATACATCCCCACAACGAAAAGATACTAAGTACAGATCTGTGAGTACTCGCAGTTACTGACAGCTAATTCAAAGCCAGTAACAAATAATAAAAAAATCATGCATCTAAGACTAAAATATCAATCAGTACACACCCAACATCCGATGGATTTAGTGTAAAGACGTCATAAACAGTCAGAGAAAATCATGAAGTTTGTTTTTAATAATTTTATTGGCGTATTAATAACCCTTTTTTGATTTGTAATTTTTGGAATGTGATATGCGTATAACCACAATATTCAAGCATTTATTCAAATAGGAATCACTGGACTTTTTGTCTGATTTCTTTTGTTTACACAAATTGTTATCATACGATTGAGAAATTAAAGCTGCTTATATGTTATCTAAATAAGGCGGTATAAATTTTTCAAGGGTAGATTTATTAAAAATGTTTCACCATCAATTTTTCTTAAACTTCTGTAAAAGACTTCTGGCTCAATGTACTTTAAAATTTTAATGTAAAAACTTGAGGTCATTGAACTTTTGTTTACGATAAAATACATTGAAATTAATGAAATCAGTTTTTTTAAATACTTGGGTTATATAGGGGAAATTTGATTTTTCCTCATTGATGAAACATATGGGATAGAATCAGTTTAATTTCATTTAGAGAATTACTTTTCATAAATACATACGAAATATCAGAGTCTTATTTTTCTTAAAATCTAAAAAAACACAAACTGTCCTATCAAATTTAGATAATAATCTGCCCTTAATTTTGAAAGAATCAGGTGCTGCTTGAATGTTGATTCACAGAAATGGGAAGTTCACAATCATGAAGCTGAAATCACCTTTTTTGTCGTTAAGTCTTTCCGAACTGTGTCCAATTAGAAGCTGATGATTTGATAACATTAGTACCTGTCTAATGTATGTCATGACTAATCAGAAATAACTTTATTATATTTATAGGTTTGTATACCGGCTTTTGTTACAGTTGTGCAATGTATAATATTGCTATACGCTTGGGAGAATCTTCCTGCACAATGTGTTGTGTGCCAGCCGTAGATATAAACATAAGAACAAGAATAAGGACTCTTGGTGGAATACAGGTAAAAAAAAACATAATTACGTCATACATAGATTAAACTTGTGCTTTCTAAATAAACGGAACAGATGATATCGATTATTTCTATAATTCATTTCATTTCTCTTTAATAGTAGAAATCGAGATACCCATAGAAGAAATTTATATTTTCCTCCAAAAATAAACAAAAAAAAATCATCTCTGGTAGAAACACTCAATATTTTTTGTTTCGTCAGAAGCGGTTTCTGGATTCAATCTCACCAGGAACGCTCGAACCTAAACGTATATAATGCCAGTGAGGAATGAATACGTCAGAAAGCTATTAGATATTTGACCAAATCGAATGCTAAAAGAATAGAAAAACCATTTAAGGTCAAACATGCCTAAGGGTGATGGAACCTTAGTTACTACATAATTATAATTTTATCAACAAGATTTTTAGACCATAGATGATTTCAGTACCGCGCCTACTACGGAGCTGATAATACTCAGAGACTAGCAGTCCACAAACAGTGTCATCGACCTAGTACTAGTACTAGTAAATGAAAATTACCCTTTTAAATTTCGTTTTGATTAGCGTACTCAGGAATGCTATCAAATCTTGTATAGCGTGACACAATACTAGTTATCAAAATATATTGAACAGAACACTCAAAAGAACAGCAACTGTTTAAATAATAATGAACAGATGTATTATTTTAGGCTTTATGCAAAACATTTGAATTAATATTAGGCAACTTTCATGTCGATAATGTTGAATAACGAATTGCGTTACGAATGAGTCGAACTTTCAAATTGATAGTTCCGATACAAAAAAATATATAAGTAGCTAGGTTCAGCCGACACCAAAGTAAAAACCTTCTCATAAAATATGATGACAAAGTAAACATAACCCAACGACAGCAAAGACAATCATTATATATTGGTTGTTTGAGTATTATAAATCTTCTAAATATATAAGTGTTCCTAAGAAATTGTACAATACAAATGGAACAATAAACGTTTAAAATTACGAGTTGTGTCAACCTACAACAAGGAGCTCTTGTTGTAAGTTGTTTTTTTTTCAGCCATGACTGCCATATTTTATATTTTAGGGTGATATGTGTAATGATTGTATGATTGTTGCCTTTTGTGGAGCTTGTGCAGCCTGTCAGGAAAACAGAGAGCTACGTAATATGGGACTCTAAAACCAGTGTGTACCCGTATAAAGTGTGTCTTGTTTTACAGTTTAAACACATATGTTTTATTAGACTTTATATATAATGTGTGTCTGTATAAATTTAAATGGCATGTATTAAAATACATTTTCTATGAAGCGAAGTTCAATTCATTAATGAATAGAAGTAAATAATTGAAACTTACCTTTGTAACTGTTCGATTCTTTTTAACTTTGTATGTTTTCGAAATTATACACATAGAAATAATTTAGTGTAACAGGGTCTGCTTACCCTTTTGGCGCACCTGAAATCACACCCAGTTCTTTGTAAGGTTCGGTCTTTAGTTTTCTATGTAGTGCTTTGTGAACCTGTTTGTTTTTGTTATTCTTTATTTTTATTACCATAGCTGATCAGTTTATCTTCGACTGATGGGTGTTGAACGTCCCTTTTGTATCTTTTGCCTCCGTTTGACCTGAATTGTCCATAAATAGCAAACATACTTGTATAATCAAAGTGTTGTCTTTTTGTTTTAGAATTGCAAACCATACTACAGTAAATGTTGGTCATAATATGGTTAATAAATGTAATGCACTTTTCCAGTTATGAATGGTGTTTTTTCACTTTACAGAGATTCAAAAAATCAGTATATCCGTTATCTACAAAACGAACACATCAAAGCTACCAGGCTTATAATTTTGTACGCTGGACGCGCGTTTCGTCTTCATACAAAACGTCAGTTGCGGTTGAATCAAAACGGTTGGAGAGTATAATCAATAAAGAATTCGAAAATCATTTAAGACTAAAAATTCCAAATATTTTTTTAGGCAATATCTGCATGGATAATCTATAGGTTAAGATACCATTGAGAGATATGTTACAGATAAAGTAGTATATTATAACGTAAAGAAAAAACAAAAGCATAACATGAAACCAGTCTACAGTGCATACATGTAAAATAAGATAAAGAAAACAAATTCCTTGTTATCCATGTAGCAGTTGTTCAATGTTGGGTTTTTTGCCTTGTATTTTTGATTGTATGCATTATGAACACTACAAACAACTCTAAAATGGCATATATCTGTACTCGACTGTACTGATTTTTACTCGACCAGTCTGAATTGGTCTGAAATTTACTTGATAATACTCGACTGAAGTCTGAACCATACTTAACAGTCTGAACTTGTACTCGACCAGTACGTAACCATTTTATACGCGTCTGAACCATGCTCGACCTAGTCTGAACCATGATCGACCTAGTCTGAGCCATACTCGATCTAGTCTGAACCATTCTCGACTTACTCTGAACCATACTCGACCAAGTCTTAACCAACCTAGATTTATTTTTTGTATCTATCTATTGTATTTCATCAATTTAGGAACTGTTTTTCACAACAGCTATTTCCCCTGGCTAGAAATTTGAACAACAATTTGAAATTAAAAATGTATTCAATATAGCATTGAAACTAAAATTTCACAATAAACAAAATATAACTTCATCACCATATTCATCAACACTTATATACATACATATATATCACCTTTAAAATAAAAATAGAACAAGCTGATCAAATAATCTCAAAACTGAATTGTGACTTAATATTTTCAATGTTATTCAAATTTTTTTTAATGTTTCAGATATATTTTATGGTTACTGGACAATTTTCACCATTAACTTAAATAAAGGCAACAGTAGTATACCGCTGTTCGAAACTCATAAATCGATAGAGATAAAAACAAATCCGGGTTACAAACTAAAACTGAGGGAAACGCATCAAATATAAGAGGAGAACAACGACACAACAAACACACAACATTAAAATGTAACACATACAGAAACGAACTATAATATAACAATGGCCATTTTCCTGACTTGGTACAGGACATTTTAAGAAAAAAATGGTGGGTTGAACCTTGTTTTGTGGCATGCCAAAGCTCCCGCTTTTATGGCAACGTCAAACACAACACCAAAACTACAACATCACATGACAGGACCACAATACAAATAAATGGGAGAACATATAGGACAAAGAAACACACGAATAATAGCTAGCAGAAGGTACTAGGCTTAAAATTCAATACGCCAGACGTGCGTCTCGTCCACACAAGACTAACCAGTGACGCTCAGATAAAAAAAGTTTGAAAGCCAAAACAAGTACAAAGCTGAAGAGCACCGAGGACCAAAACTTCCAAAAAGTTGCGCCTAACACGGCCAGGATTTTCTGCCTGGGACAAGAACATCCTTATTATTTAGAATAATTTATAATTTTGCAAACAGTAAATATTATAAAATGACTATATAATAGATAAACATGATATAACCAAAGTGGGGACTAACTACAGAATAAAAACGGATACATTACATAAAACAACTTAATCCAACCTAAAAAAAAAAAACACAGCCGAGTTAGCTAAAGCCTCAACGCACAAAGTGACGTCTTATTTGAAATTCTGAAAAAACACACAAAGTGACGTCACATATGAATTTGTAAAAATATCTCCCAAAAATAAGATAGGATTAGGATTGATTCAAGATAGATTTGTAATACTGCCATTACATTTATTAATAACAATGAAAATTACAATACTTATTAATATCAAATTGTGGTAGTAATTAGATAATTAATTGTATTATCTAGCTACGTCGGTGTTTCTTCTGAATCAAACTGTAAACCAAATATATCGTATAAATTTCGTTGTACCAAACTAAAATCTAATAAATGAAGGGGGTGATTAATTATCTATACCATAACAGAAAAAACGTTAAGACATTTGACAAAATCCGACGAGAACAACAAATATAACATCAAAATTAAATACATGAATTTGGGATAGAAAGGTACCGTGACACGTCTTATAGCAATGCGGTTTCACACTCAGCAAAACAGTCACAATCTGGAAAAAGTCACGTTCGGAAATTAAAAGATCAGACAACGTAATGACAAACCACAATCTAACACGTGGTAAAAATGTCCTTAGTTAGTTTTGACAAAGACACATCGTATGGATCAACCAATTGGTGATGGTGTCCGTAAAATTTACGGAGTGTCATTTTTAATCTGTCCTCCTCATAACTTTGTTGGAGCAGTTTCTGCGTAAGGAGCACACTCCTGTATATGAAGTACGTATAGTGTGAACAAGCACGAGAATAACGTATCAATTGAGATATGTAAACACCATACGAAGGGGCAGAGGGTATGTTACTGCTGAGAAATGGGAAATTGATAATTGGGAAGTTGAAATCGTCCCGTTTATCATAGATTTTCGTGTGAAGTCGTCCATCTGTGTCAATATTGAGGAAAAGATCAAGGTATGAAGCAGTCCTTCTAGTATCAGTAGTATCCTTAATTTCAAGTTCACTGGGATATATGAGATGTAAGTATTGGCTGAAATATGGGTTATTCAATGATAGAACATCATCAATATATTGGAAAGTAAAATTAAAGATTTTTGCAATTTGCTTTTTCTTTTTGTCTTTTAGAAGGTTCTGAATGAATTCTGCTTCATACGAGTACAAAAACAAATCGGCCAGTAGGGGTGCACAATTAGTTCCCATTGGAATACCGACTGTCTGTTGAAATATAAATCCTCCAAACTCAACAAATATATTGTCGATCAAAAAGTCCAGCATTAAGCTTAGTATAGATTTATGGTGTCAGTTGAGTTTAGTTAATAATGCAGTGAACATTATTTTTATTAAAATATATATAAAATAGCAGATAAAGCAACTTAATAAATTTAAAAAATGACACCTTTGTTTTGTTTAACCAAGAATTTAATATAAAAATGATAATAGAACTTCCATAGTAATCCTGTGATAAACTTTTAAAAAAGGAAATGTGTTCCAAAGTTACAGTAAAAATTTATTTCAATTAAATTTAAATAATTTTTGTCAAAATTAAAGACATGGCATACAAGAAGCACTTTAATAAGGTTTAATTACCTCAGTATATGTGTGTTTTACAGGTAAAAAGAATGCCCTATTTTTCTTAAACTCGTGTATTACTTATCTTGTGAATTCAAAAGATCTCGATTTAAGTTTCACTGGATGTTGCAATTTTGAATGAATGTTATTTAGAATTTAATACTCTTTGACCAGGTGTGATCTTTTTCATGAGTTTGCCCCAAGCAGGAGGTATTACTTTATACTTCACCACTAATCAGAAGAACAATTTTATTAATTTCTTTAATTTTTATCCCTTTTTGATATATATTGTATATAATATATCCCAAATTATAATAATAGATATATTTCTAAAATAAGGTTAAACAATTTCAGTGATTTTGTTGGCTGTTGATACCTCATTAAAAAGATACATGCCATGTAATTATATAACTATTGTACATTTTTTGTATGTAACCATGAAACCTATGTAGTGTTTATTGAGGAATTTAGGAAAATTAATTTAAAAAAAAACCACATGCCAAACAAGAAGCACCTGAATAAGGTTTAATTACCCTCAGTATAGGTGTGGTTTTTAGGTAAAAGAATTTTTCTTTTTAACAAAACTCTATAACTTTAAAATTAATATAATTAAATTATTATATAAGATAATTTGATTTAACTATATCTATTCGATAAATCTGAGAATCATGTAAGAATGTAAAAATCTGTTTTTATAATATATCTTTATTTTATTGTGGCTGTTGCCATGTCAGTTAAAAAGAAATTTATTAATACAGTTAAAATTTAGAAAAAGTAGAGGTTATTTGGTCCAGTATTGTTCAGACTGGTCGAGTATTGTGCAGACCTTTGGTCGAGTATGGTTTAGACTGAAAAAAATAGGTCGAGTACAGGTCGAGAATGGGTTAAGACTGTTTCAGACTGGTCCAGTAATAGTTTGGACTATTTTCAATGGCAAAGATAAGGGTCAAGTACAAATCAGTACAGTCGAGTATGGTTAAGACTGGGGTCGAGTAATGTTGAGTAAAATTCAGACCAATTCAGACTGGTCGAGTAAAAATCAGTACAGTCGAGTACAGATATAGGCCATTTCAGACTTTTACTGGTTTGTAGTGGAATGATAGGTTGTCGTCATTTCCTCATTTTTCGTGTTGATGACGCAAGAGTGAGTTACAAGTATTCTTTAAAATGAATCTGCAAACTGAATTATCAAAACATATCATGTATACATGCAGCCAGAAAGTATCAGATACTATA